GTTAAAGATATGTTAAAAAAATCTTAAATAAGTGAGTTTAAAACTAAGAGTCTATTTAGTTTCTTAAAAAATATCTTTATTTTGAGAAATACTTTCTAAGAAAAATTTCTTCTTTTCAAAAGATTGTTTTATGATGTTCGGAATATTTTAGAATTTTTTTTAAAAATGGTTTTTATTGTTTGCTAAGTAAAGGGAAATCTTCAAAAATTTTTCAAGATTAATTAATTAAAAGATTATAAATTGAAGTAAATAATCAGGTCACTACTCATTAAATATCTAAATCGAGGGCTTAATTAATAAAAAATTTTTAAAAAGTTGAGGATGCTGACTGTTCATCTTCTCTAACTAGTCTCATTTTCTGCAAAAATTAGACTTGAATATTGGCCATGATTAAACCTTAAAGTCCATTCCAATAACACAAAATTTGAATTTCATAATATGAATATCATGAAACCCATGAAGTAAAAGAATTGGACAAATGCACTTGACGCTTCGGATCAAGTGGTTTTAGACTTCCTTGAGATGCATCTCTTCTCCCCTTGGGCAGGGTTCGAGCTCATTCAGGACACCTTGTTCAAAAAAAAAAAAGGAAAAAAAAAAAAGGAGGAATTGGACAAATAAAAAAAATCCACAATAAATTCTGCTTCCTTTTCTTTTTTTTATCGCTCTTCATGGCATTTCAATACTTTATAGCGTGTTTCGGTTCTCCATTTCTTTAAACTCAGATATGTAGCTTTGCATCTCAATTGGGTCCCGTGGGCAACAGAGAAGGATGAAATGGGTTCCGATATGATGTTCTTCGAGAGAAGATCTTTGAAAACAGACTACAGAGTCCACCTTGCCAGGGAATCGAAGAGAAAAAGCTGCGGGGGAAGGAGCACAGTGACTGTAGACCTGCGATCCATATGCGTCTCTTTCTTTTTGACCCGATAACCCGCGCGATTTCGCTCGTTCGGATCCTTGAGGGATCCACGTATTTGAAATGCAAGACAGCCAATCAGAAATGCCACAAAGTCCGCTGCTCTTAGGGGATATCCCCAGCGTCAAGGAACCTGTACGAGGGTGTATGTGCGATTCGTTGAAATCATGGGCTGAGAAAAAAGTTTCCTTTTTCTAACACAAATAAAATCCTTAGGAACTCTGAGTGATGCTACAAACACATTTCTGATTCCTAAAAGGGATAACCCCAATGTGGTCGGTGATGTCCGTCCTGCCTGTTGTTGCAATGTAATTTACAAAGTTATTACTACAAAAGTCATGGCATATATTATGCAGCAAGTTCTGGAGCTATAGTTAGCCTTAATTAATCTAGGTATTTTCATTACAGGGAAGTCTATTATTCTCTGTAACAACAACCTTGGGTTTTCTCAATAGCATTGGCACTGTTGACTCTGCTCTTTGCCCCCTTTGTTCTTTGACTACTAAATCTATTTACCAACAGTTTCGGGAATGCTCTTTCTCCTGTTTCTACTGCTGTTTGGGAGTCTCTCTTCCCAAATATGTTACTCGATCAGGCGGAGGACGAGCCTTTTTTGATTGGTTGAAACGCAATAGTTGTTAAAGCTAAAGCTCCTCCTCGGCTATTCCGTGGCGTACCCTCTTCACCTCTATTGTTTGGATTATTTGGATTCAGGGGAATCGTAAATGGTCTAGACTAGACCAATATAATCCAGGTAGAACTGTTCCCTTCATTAAAGAGCGTGCGGGTGAATTATGGTCCTTTAGCCGCTCTTTCCCATGCACTCATCACGCCTTTCTAGATCATCTAGATGGACTAAACCACCAGTGGGTTTCATCAAATTAAAAGAATGTTTTTCTAATAATTTGATTAAAAGAAGAAATTTTAAAAGATATTAATTAAAAAAATAATATTTAAAATATAAATATTAAACAATAATCTAAACACAAGATAATTCTAACACTATCAAAAAAACAGTAATTATTTGTTTATTTAACAATGAAATAAATCTAAAAGCTACTTAAAAACAAAATATCATATATCATTTATATTAACTTTCTCATGGCTCTGGCCACAATCTTTTTTTTTGTCTTTGATAAACATTCGAGTAGCTTAGATTAAAAAATAGATCAAATAGATAAAAATTGCTTTTTTATTCGACAATCAAAATAAACTTGGTGTAGTATTTTCATACCCACATTTTTGTTCCTTTCTCAAGCGGTTTTGATATGTTGATTCCACACCGACATCAAATTGACTTCGTGCTCTTAATTTGCTGGAAAATGTCGATGAAATTATACAGCAGTCTGAGATTAACTTAAATCACCTTCTACTAAGCATGAAAAGTTCAAGCACAAAACTAGTATTTAAGTCTTATGATAAATTTTACACTAACATCAAATTGATTTTGCTTGATCTGCATGTGTTCATGATTTATAAAGACATTTTTTGTCTTTTTACACTATGGATTGAAGATTTTTGCGCAGAATTAAAACCTCAACTGCAAAACAAATACCAAACCGGCTGCAATTGAAACCATTTTTTCTTTCAATTCCGGTTCTCCAATAAAAAAAAAAATGATCTGTATGATTGGAAAATTCATGATCCTGCATTCCCGGAAATTAAATTGATTTGATGCCGAAGAGCCAAGAAAATTAAAACAAACTCCAAAAATTCATTAGGAAAAATAAATGAGTTGCAAAACCTAACTACCATTACAAAAACGTTGACAATTTATTATGTGTTTTATCTCATTTTGATAGTAGGAAGAATGCCACCTTAGTCTTCAGATTGATCCCATATCTTAAGAGTTTTGTATGTGTTTTCACTCATTACAATTTAATTTACTACGCAAGAAACCATTTAACAATTTTTATGCTGAATGGCAACCCTTTGCGCTTTCTAACAATTTCTCACTAACCGCCTTTAGATCTAGATGAGCAACAAGGTTCTCAGTTCCTAATCCAAGTCGGGCCAATAATGACAAATATGCATCTGGTAGCAATAAGTCTTCACCCTCCTCTGCAATGTATGCCTATCCACATGCCAGAAAGACCAATTTGAGATTCTTCTTTTAATACATCGCTTAAAAGGTATTGATAGATTCGTTCAAACTGCCAAAACAAAAGCAAATATATATATATATTAACATTTCATAATCAAATTTCCAAAAGTCCAATCTCTAGCAATGCAATGGAATATGTTCTCATTCTTCATCAAAGGTCATGTGGGTCTAGTATGATTTTGCAGATTTTGCTGCCATAACGCAATACACCAATCTATTCTTTTGCATTTGTTGTTGATCATACAGCTGCTGTTCTTTCTACCTTTTAAATATGCATTAAAACAATAAAAACAACATAATGACAAGCATAAACAGAACAAAATAAAGTTATCATCATGATCTATCCAATTCAGATAATGAAATAAGTAAACTTACATTTACAGAAAATTTAAACCAGATCAATAAAGTTACCATCAAGCTCAAATTCCAATTAAATACCGCTTTAAAATGCCAAAATCTTCAAGTTCTTACTAAAATAAATGATTCTGATGGGACACAAATGAGCTTTCTTGCTCAATGTTGTGCTCCCTTATTGTTAAGTGAGAAATCAATCTTGTGAACTTAAATACAATTTGTGCAACTACCAAACTTAGAATACAAAAATGAAATGGCAGATCAACTAATCTTTGTCTCTTCCAAAGCATAAAAGCAGAGGTCATAAGGTCACAAGCGAATGTAGGAGAAAATTGAGTTACTCTCTCCAAGAGGAAAATTTAGTACAGAGGACGCGCTGGTCAAATCTCAAAATGTTGGGAGCCTGGGATAGCAACTTTCTAATCTGCAGCAATCAAACTTTTTTCATTTGAAGGAGGCTCAAGTTTCTTAACAGAAGGCACCCCTCTGATACTCTGCAAGAAAAAATGAATCTTTACTTGATAAGAATAGCATTTCAGCTAATATATCTGATATCCTGAACAATATTGTGTGGAAAAAAAACAACCACTGATATCATTATTACCTTTTGCTTGACTCAACCAAGTTCATAAGAATTGCAATTCAAATTAAAATCTCTTGCAGAAGGGCATGCTTGAGCTTGACAAAATCAGATCACAAGCTTGTCAGTTGTCATTGTCTTTATCTCAATAAAGCTTGACAAAGGAAAAACAATTTCTTAAAAAAATGCAAAGAGAGAAAACTTACAAGGTATCTAGAGGACTAAACTCTATTACTTTTGTTATTTGCATTTGAAGCACGATCTAGTTACAAGCTTGGTAATATCACCGCAGATTATAACCTTTCCACTTCCAGTTTCAAGAAAAATCACATTTGAATGTGCTGTTCTATATGCCCTTCCAATTTCGTCAAAATAGAAAGAAAGAAAAAATAAATATATATGCAAGATTTTGCAAGAATTTACTACAGATTTTTTTTTTAATGTTTTGGTAAGTAATTTACCAAATAGATGAGAGTCAGATGGGATATCAATAACATTTTAAAATGCCTCAATATTAGATTAATAAAATTTGTTACAAAAGAGCTTTCTTAAAATGCTTGGGGTAGCGACTGCATATTTTCATTTCCATTGAAAGGAGGATTAAACTTCTTATAACAAAAGGAATCTATTTGCAAGAAGAAAGAAACCTATTTCTTGATAATAAACAGCAGTTCAGTTAACGTATCTAGTGTCTTAAAATCACCATTACCTTTTTTTAACTAACTCAGCCTTGCAGAAAGAAACTTGCAAATTGGAAATGCACAATAAGTCTTCCTTCCAGCAAGAAGAAACTTTTGCAGAAGAGCATGCTCTGAGCCAGAAAGAATAAGATTACAAGCTTGTCAGATGTCAATATTTTCATATCGATTCTTAGCCTAAACAACGAAAAACAAGTTCTCAAAAATGTAAAGAGAGAAATCATACTATGTGTCTACAAGATTGATTTGTATTGATTTTGTTATTTGCATTTCAAGCACAACTCTGCTACAATCTTGGCAATATCTTCACAGATTATAACTTTTTCCTCTTCCAGATTGTAGAAAAATCCCCTAAGAATGTCTTGCCCTATTGCCTCCTCCTTTAATTTATTCAAAATAGAAAGAAAGAAAAAAGAAATGAGGTACTTGAAGATAGGAAATGAATTCCAACTTCCAAAAATTAATCATATCTTAGAACATACCTTTCATGCAGGCACCAACCTTTTCATAATCAAATCTACTAAAGGCTTCAGCATAACCCTTCTTCTATGATGCCTCTTCTTGAAATCCGGATTGGAGCACTGCATAGAGCATAAAATTATTTTCTTTTAACCAACACCTAAAAGGTAAGATGATTCTTCTAATGTCAGAATAGCACCAACCAAGATTGAAACTAGCATCAAGGGTCCAGGATATGCAACATTAATTGTTCTAAGAAAACAGAGGCATATGCAATAAGAAATGTCTGGAATACAGTTCAAGTTATCCATCATCAGATTTGAAATAAACCAACTCATCAAATAGGGTAGATTTAAGCATTAAACTTACTTAGAATTTGCATGGATTTCTCTTTCAATAACCATCCCTTATCTTCACAAGGCATGGTTGGAATGTGTTAATGTGATAAAGTCTAAAAGACACAGCATCAAACTGCTTTCTCATGTCAAGAGCCACTTCAAGTATATCAGACTGGACAAAATCCTGTTACTCAAACCATACAATGTCCATAAAAGATTCCAACATTTATATTCAAGAACCCCTCCTGTTAATCTTCTTCCAGCAAATGAACCTACAAGTATGACATGGAATGCTTTATCACTTCAATTACAATGTATTATAAAATGAATGCCTTTTATTCACATCAAAGCACAAAAACCAAATGTATATACAAGATTTTGCATGAATTCACCACAACTAAGCATAATTCAAAGCATGGGAGAAAATAAAATTGAACGAAATTGGAAAAACAAAAAAATTTGCAACTTTGAGAAAGTAAGCCTATCTCACAACATACCTTCTTTCCCAAGCACCAACCTATTTATGATCAAATCCACTTAGGCTTCTCCATGACCCTTCTTTTATGATGCCTTTCCTGAAATGATGATCTGGGCACTGCACAGAGCACATAACTATTTTCATTTAACCAACAACTAAAAGGTAAATTAAATTTTCTATTGCCAGAATGCCCAGAAGTACACAAACCAAGATTAAAACTAGCATCAAGGGTCCAAGACGAGGATACTAATTGTTTGAAGGATACTGAGGCATTGGCAAAAATGAACTTTCAGCAATACAGTTCAAGTGATCCATAATCAGATCTGAAATAATGCAGTTCATCAAATAGGATAGGTTTAAGCCTTAGAACCAACTCTTTACTCAAATCTCAGCACACATAACTGGCTGTAGAGCAATTAAATAGCATGACTATCTAGATAATCTTAATAGAAAAATGGAAAAGGAAGATCAAGAAAATGAATTAACTCAATCAGAAGAATTCTTGAGTGAGTTAGAACTAGTCCAAGGAGTTTGATTACCACACAGCCTTTCAATGAAATTATCAATGAATACTTGATTCCAATCAGATACTGGAGCTAGCATGTACCCAAAAAATGGTAATTTCAATTTTTTTTTTTCCAAATTGCAACAATGTTAACGAAAAGAGGTATATAACTAAAACATTTATATTGAATCCAATGAAATGATCCTCAAAGGAATTAAAACTTACTGCAAAAGATGACCTGAAAGGGTTGACATGTTGTTGACTCTTATACTAAGCAGCTATTTATATATTGAGTAGTCAACGAGTCTTCACAGAATACAAGGATTGCAACTTTCCAATCTCTAGAAAACCAACATTTTTTCAGCTGACATAAATGTTAAGCTTCAGAAATACTAAGATCTCCTCCATCTAGTACTTTGGGCTGTGAAAAGGAGGAATAATCCTTAGTAGTTTTCTTGATTACCATATAACCTTTCAAGTATGATTTTTTATTGGCCATTTCTCTATCATTTAATATGCATATCCTGAACAAAAAAAAATGAGGAATTTATGGCATTAACAAAAATATAAAAAGGAAAAGACAACACTACAACCAATATTACCTTTTATTTAGATTGGAATTCATTTGATTGTCATCATGTTTTGAAGCTAAAACAAAAGAAGAGATTAATTAGATTAGCCATTTTCCAAGTTTCTAACAAGAGGGTGAAAA